GTCCCCCCCCCCCCCCCCTTGAAGGGCATCATTGTTTACTAGGGATTTTAAGATAGTTCACTACGGTAAGCTGGGACGGTTGGATGCGGTTTTATCGGTAAATTCGAGTAAAAAGGACAAAGCTTTACCTGTTAAAATTTCCAAACCGAGCTTCGTCACCTTCTTTGTGTATTTCGGGAACAGCTTGCGTGATTAGTTGTGAAATTTCTTTCTTTGTTAAGGCAGCAAACCGGGAAGACATTTTGCTCGCAACTTAAGCGAGATTGGCGTCGCTCGCTCGGAGGAACTGGAGGTGAATCAGTGGACAATGCGGGATATTCACTGATTGAGTAGCCAATCAGGGCGCGCGAAAAGCACTATCCACTGTTTTAGTATATACTAAATATGTATATATATTTATATGTTAGGAAGTCTGTGTTTCGATTTTTCCGGAGTAGAGTGCTCGATACGTTAAAGTAGAGCGTGATATATAAATATTGGAAATAGGAAAAAGAAAAAGACTACACTTTCATCCCGACAAGCCTGTTTCGTTATCGCTCACTCTTAGCAGAATTTTTGAAAACATGCCTCAAAAAGGACCAGAATATTCGCACAAAAACCTGGCGATAGCTTTGCTAATAAGGAGTCGAGAAGAGAGTCACCTTTGAAAGCGTATGGGTAACAGGCGAATTTCTTTACAATATAGGCCATTGGCCCTTTTATTTATGTCAGTTAAGTTGTCTGGCCTAGACTTGCCAGCTGGTAGGGTTTTCATAATTAAGTCTAGAGTATGTTAGTAAATGATGAAGGGTGAGGAGAAATTATCCAAGGCTGAGCGAGGACAAGGCAAATTTGGCTCAAGGCGGCCCAGCTCCTTCTTAAAGAAGGCAACATCTAGACGAATTTTTGAAAGGCCCAGAGTTCGGGAGTTGGAAAATACTCGTTACTGTTATTCTAACATTCAGTACATTGCGCTGAACTCTATTTATTTCATAAGTCTTACGACTCGTGAGCGATAAACTTACTTGGTTCACACAATGCTTGAGCTCCCTTGTCCTCTGGACAGTCATTCTCGCCATCAGTTCGTTTGCACGATGACAGATTAAATTCCTCCCCAGTACAGGACACCTCTGTCATTAAATAAGGTAGAGTTTCGTCCTGGACCTCTGATGTAATGAATTCCGCTACTGCACCTTTAAAACCCAACTGGGTGCAAACCACTTTCGTATCCTCAAAATCCCATCCTTTTCGACAGATCTTACCCCACATTCCTCGATAAAAGATTTCTACTCTTCCTCCATGATCGAAGTTTGTTCCTTTTAGGCGTACGGGAACTGAATATGTAAATTAACAACACAACTGTTAAATAAGAAATTGATGGAAGGATTACCGCTTGGATAAAACACATGATCAACATAATTATAGACAGTAGCAAAAATGTACAACATTTTGCTGGAGAGCGTGGCTGGAAAAAAGAAAGAAAACCCCCTATCAGGGAGGGAAAAATTAACCATTCTCGAAATTTATGACGACTGACCTAATTTTTTTTACCAGGGTTGAAAGTAAAACCTACAAGACGGGCGAGCAAAGAAAGTGATTGAATGGTTTGCTCATGGGAATTTGTACTTTTTAAAAGGACCTGACTCGAATCATGAACCATTTAAATGATTGAATATCCTTATTGCGCTAGTTAGGAAACAAAAGTCGTAAGACCACTCAGGATCGGGAGGTTACTTAAGAAAAGGTTCCAAGGTTAGTTCAATATCGCTTCTGCTGGTTACTTTTCCTTAAACATACAAAGCCCAAAAGAAGCTGTTACTGCTAAGGCTTTCTTACACAAATAATGAGGGAAAGTAAAATACCTTAAATAAGATATTAACAATGTGAATAAACCGTCGAAAACACCTTATCAGTTACCTGTACATGACTGGAGATCCTCTTTGCTGTCATTATTGCAATTGAAAAGCAACGATGTACAGTTTTGAAGAATGGTCGTGTTTGAGTGACTTTTGCTTTCTGGCTGAGTGCTGATGTCAGTAGGACCATTATATCCCATTGCTCTGCATGTTAAATCCTTCTCGTTGTCATCCCAACTTGGGGTGCAAAGTCTTTTCCAGGTGTTGTTGGATTTAAATTCCATGATACCAAGAGATGGTATCTCATTTGTTCTAAAGCGTACTGGAAAGCCTGTTTTAGAAAGTTTCATGTGATATGTTTTAGCACTGAAGCTAATCCTGGGAGTTTCTTCTAATTAGAATTCAGTTAAAGAATCGCCGGGAGACCAGATCTATTTTATTTATTTGTTTATTTTACCACACGCTTTAAGTAATTTTTTCAAGTACAAATTTAACTGAAATGGGATTTTTACTCCCCATAATCAGACAGCACGAAATCTAAAATCGTAAAATTATGCGAAACAATTATTTCACGAGCGCGCTTTGGATAAGAGTTTCTGAACTGTTGGCTTAACCGTTCTTTTATCTAGTAAGCACTAGTAGAATGATCTTTTTCATAATCCTTTGTTTTTGTTATTTTTCACCCATATCCAGATTATTATTTTCCATGATGAAAAAAAAAAAAAAAAA